TACAGGTCTAACAGAGACTGGGATAATGGCTACAATCAAAAGAGATTCGTGACTTATATGTGAATTTTTTTGTGTTAGTTATTTGTTTGCCTAATTGTTTGCTTAATTTAATTGTGTTATCATGTTAATTTAAATTTCATGTTTGATGGTAACCACATTGACATAGTGATGTGTGTCCGTCCAGATAACAGGAATCGAAAGAGGTTATAGCTCATACAAGAAATAAAAAGTTTAAAGAATGGAAGCGATGTAATTGATCACCTCGATAACTTTCATGTAACTTCAATTTTTTTCCAGAATTCATGGTGTCTTTTGGTATATTGTTTTCTCACTTCAATTTGTGCTTTGTGATGTCACATGTTTATCTGGATCAAACCAAAGAACAGATATGGCCGAAAATAGGTGCAGTTTTCATCGGAGTTTTGATGTTTCTTATCTTTTTGCATCGAGTTTTATCAACATCAAAGTTTATTATAGCTAACTATAATTTTTTTTCATAAGCTATAATTTCTTTATTTTATTTCAGCTTTAGGTATGTATTTTGATCTCAATTATGATCTGGAAAAGTAATATTTTGGACATTTATAATTGCATCTTTTTCGCTAACAATAATGTGAAAGTATATATGTATAATCAAAAAGAGAAGTACCATTTTTATCTACCATTGAGAAGTCTTACTAGGTCCATTTCATTAATTGCATAATATAACATAATAATCAATAAAATATTAATAATAAATCAATTTTGATTATTAATTTTAATTATATTTTTAGTTATAAAGAAATCTGTTGAGAAAAATCTAACAAAATCCTACTAAACATTTTAAATATTTTTTTATTAAATAATGCATTAATTAATTCGTAATTAAGTAACATAATATTAGTTTAAATTATATTAATTAAATTTTATTATAACCTAAAAATTAAATAGATTGATATTTTTAATAAATTTATAATTATAGTCTATATCTTCTCTATTAAAAGAGAAGTACCATTTTTATCTACCATTAAGAAGTCTTACTAGGTAGACATATGGATTTTATAATATTTATTTAAAAAAATATCATGCTTGGTGATGTAAAACTAAAAATCTAATAAAATGAATATTGTTCGGATTATGCGGGNATTTCAAAATTGTAACAATTCATATTGATTTAAATGAATAGTGTCTTTTAATTTGAAATAAAATTAAATAGAAAAAAGATATTATTTTATTTATACATTCCAAATCATTATTTTTTACATACCATATTAACTACAATTATCATTATCATTTCTGCATTGTATACGGGTCAAAAATTCATTTTGATATATATATATATATGGGAATAAGCTAAAATTTCTTTAATATGGTCATTTGCTTTAGGTCACAAAATATTTATCAAGTATAAACAGGTTAAACTAATATATTTGTCATTTTTATTATAAACTAACAAACGGATTAATAGTTTTATTAACAAAAACGAAATCCCGCGCTTTCAGATATGCCACTAGAATATTTAAAACCTATGATTTTTATTTAATTCATTACAAAATCTATTTAATCCTAACAAAATCTATTTAATCCAACAATATTAATTTTAAGCTTTTTTAAATAACCAAATAACAATAAAATCTAATATTTTAACCCCTCCTTAATTTTAGGATTGATTTTTTTTTCTATAATTGTTTTATCTATTTTTCAAAATTAAAAATATCCAATATATTTTTAACATCTGCACTTAAATTACAATTAAAACTATGTGAAAAATATTTTTCAATATTTTAAAATATTTACACATGATGCAATTATGATTTAAAATGACCAAATACATGTTAATTTTAAGTTTAAATAAATAACTACAAAGATTGCATTTTAAAATCAATATGACATAAATTTACTAAATATATGCGCTTAAAAACTATAATTTTACATAAATTTTAATTATTTTTTAAATAAATATTTTAAATTTTAAAATAAAGTTGATTTTACAAAATTAATCTGCAATTAATGAAGTAGAAATTTTACAATTAATATTTACAGATTGTTTCATTAAATATGTTAAATATTTCTTGAGTACAAATGGATCTCACAAATACATTTTTTTATTTCTATTGTCATCTAACAAACGAGTTAATAATTTTATCAACAAGAAACGGGTCTCTGTCTAGGAATGATTCAAAAACGAATTGGTAAAATATATCNATAGAACTCATAATTTTATCGGGTCCCTATAATTTGTTATTTAACTAAAACGAATAAAAAAAATAAATCCTACACCACACATTAAATTGTACGTAATTTTATTTAATCTATATATGTCGGACCAAACCAAATTATTAACGACAATCGATCTGAACCCGGATACTCATGCCTATACATACTTGTGAATAATCGAACAAGGACATAAATTTAAAGCAAAAACGGTTGACCCGCCCTCTTTAAGGGCGGGTCAAAATCTAGTATTTTTATTAATACATGAAACAGAACTTGAAAACTGAGTTCTGAACAAAAGGTTGATCAAACTACTGAACTGATAGCAATACATAACTGAAGAGAACCTGAAGGTACTTGGACTTCTGTCATCATATATAAAGAAAGGCTCAAACACAGAGACATGACTTGATTTTTCTGGAACATCAATGGCATTTTTACTGAAGAACTTGGTGGTGAACAAGGTGAATGCTTCTCGTTATATGTTTCCTGAGTAAGTATAGTTTCTAAAGACAACGGATCCAAGCCATATGCTGATTATGTCATTTAAAGCAGTTAGTTCCAAGGCTAGGAAAGAAGCATATCAAAAGAAAACAAGAATCACCTTTTGGAACTGGCATGTCACTAATAGAAGCTAGAAGCTGTTTCTTCATGTATGTTTGAATCCAGTTCAAGTGTCTCAGAGTAATCTTCTGAGCTGCATTGTTGAACATTTGGCTCAGATTTCAAACCTACAACTGTTTGTGTTCTGCTTTCATTTGAAGAGCTTGTCTCCTTGACTCCAGAAACTGGTGAAGTACCAATGTTTAGGAATGATTCTTCTTTAGAATCACCTCAAGGTTATTGCAGCTCTCTACCTCGTTTTCTTTCTGAGCTATCAAACGCCTTATCAACTCACTGAACTTCTCTTCTGAACCATCATTTATCAAATCAGCATCACTCTTAGAAGTTTGTGGACACTGATCCTCTGCATGATCATCATCAGCAGCTCTAAAAATGTTAACGTCCTCACTGGTTTTGCTGAAGGTTCTACTTCTCCTCTTCCTGCTTCTCGCCTTTGTCTTTCCTCTGCATTCAGAATCACACTTTTGCTGAGTCTTCTCATCAATCTCATTTCAATAAGTTTCTTAACACTCTTCTGGGACAACATAACACAAACAATATACATCACTTTTTTTTATCCCTCAAAATAAAAAAAAACAAGTTTGATTCTCAAATTTCCAACAAGAACTTAAACCAAGACCTCACCTCTCACAGTCACAGGTAAGCTGCTTCTCAATCTTAGTCTCAATACCTGCATTGTTACATTAAACCAATAAAAGTGAGAACCATTGTTGTTTCAGACACATTCTCTTAATGATGTTTAAATACATAAGGTGTAGACGAGATCACCGGATAGGATTTGTGGTCGAAAGGCTGCACGGGGTATGCGATGACATCTTCCTCCGTCATAACTTGATCGGGAAAAAAGCAAGAAACACTGCTTCTTTGATGATGAATCAGCGAGGATTAAAGGCTTCTCCTTTTCCCCAATGTTTCTGCTCTTGTTTCGATTGAATTGAGATCAATTTCGGATCAATTGAATTTACCTAGAATTGAAATCAAGGATCAGATGAAGATGTAAGCTCAAGAATTTGGAGCTTGATAGGTTGCTGCAGTGGTTGAGTTTTGGTTCGCGTACTTGTGTAACACACAGATAACGGTGTGTGACACACATCATTGTGTAACACACAGATAATGGTGTGTGACACACGCTTCGGAGAATAAAAAGGATTCGACAAGATGCGATAAAGTGGAATATTCTCATATATTTGGCTGGCGAAATATGTATCAGAAAAAGGATTATTGGGTTTAATGAGCTAGGGTTTTGCTTATTGGAGTATAAAGAGAACAAAGCATGATAGAAAGCGGCTACGCGTCTAGGGTTTATTGAAGATGCACATGGATGTGTGTGACGTCGTCCTACCAGACAAATGGATAGATCTGTTGGTAGTTTTGTTATGGAGAACTATACTTGTCAGAGTAGTAGTTCTTTTTCATTGTAATTCTAGATTAGAATGGTAGGCACGGGTGTGTGCTGGATATCAAGCATTATTGTTTGTGTTCTATTCTAGTGAATGAGTTCTGGACGTGGTCCCGGGGATGTAGGAAACGAACCTCGTTAACAAATATCTGTGTCTCTTTTCTTTATGCTCATATATGCTTGCATCACACTACATCACACTCGGTCATATAGGTTTAGCCACATACCATGTTTTNGGCACGGGTGTGTGCTGGATATCAAGCATTATTGTTTGTGTTCTATTCTAGTGAATGAGTTCTGGACGTGGTCCCGGGGATGTAGGAAACGAACCTCGTTAACAAATATCTGTGTCTCTTTTCTTTATGCTCATATATGCTTGCATCACACTACATCACACTCGGTCATATAGGTTTAGCCACATACCATGTTTTTACAATTGGTATCAGAGCAGGTGCTCGTAGAGATTCATCTTATTTCGGGTAGATTCTGGATACGGTATTTGTAGCTAGCTGAAAAGTTGAAGAGGATGAGAATAGTCATGTCGTGAAAATATCAAGAGGAGTGTTAGAGTTTATGGATTCTCTACTGTTAGAGTCAATGACGGATCTGGTGACTTTTGATTCTGGTCCAACAAGTGTCATGAAGTTTTTCACAGAATTTTCCATTCAAGAAAGGTGAGATGGTACTTGATTCAGGGGGAGTAAAAGATGTGTAGTGTGTTTAAAGGTTATTGAGCTTGAGTTGTAAATATCAGTGAAAAAGGAGGAGAATGTAAGCTCAAGAATTTGGAGCTTGATAGGTTGCTGCAGTGGTTGAGTTTTGGTTCGCGTACTTGTGTAACACACAGATAATGGTGTGTGACACACATCATTGTGTAACACACAGATAATGGTGTGTGACACACGCTTCGGAGAATAAAAAGGATTCGACAAGATGCGATAAAGTGGAATATTCTCATATATTTGGCTGGCGAAATATGTATCAGAAAGTGGATTATTGGGTTTAATGAGCTAGGGTTTTGCTTATTGGAGTATAAAGAGAACAAAGCATGATAGAAAGCGGCTACGCATCTAGGGTTTATTGAAGACGCACATGGATGTGTGTGACGTCGTCCTACCAGACAAATGGATAGATCTGTTGGTAGTTTTGTTATGGAGAACTATACTTGTCAGAGTAGTAGTTCTTTTTCATTGTAATTCTAGATTAGAAGGGTAGGCACGGGTGTGTGCTGGATATCAAGCATTATTGTTTGTGTTCTATTCTAGTGAATGAGTTCTGGACGTGGTCCCGGGGATGTAGGAAACGAACCTCGTTAACAAATATCTGTGTCTCTTTTCTTTATGCTCATATATGCTTGCATCACACTACATCACACTCGGTCATATAGGTTTAGCCACATACCATGTTTTNGGCACGGGTGTGTGCTGGATATCAAGCATTATTGTTTGTGTTCTATTCTAGTGAATGAGTTCTGGACGTGGTCCCGGGGATGTAGGAAACGAACCTCGTTAACAAATATCTGTGTCTCTTTTCTTTATGCTCATATATGCTTGCATCACACTACATCACACTCGGTCATATAGGTTTAGCCACATACCATGTTTTTACAGAAGACGGTGATGACAAAGGATTGGAGAGAGAGAGGAGAGAATAAGAGACGTATCATTTGTCGCTTAATTAAGACATGGTTTTTCAATAAATAGCTAATTTTCTTTTATTTTTAATCTTAAAAACACTAAATACCCACCCTAATCCTGGTAGTGGTAACTTTACAAGTTGTACCGCTTTTAAGTAACATATAATCAGAGTTGGAAGTACGTAGTCCAAATTGGTTATATGGGGTTTCCAAAAAAAAAACCAATGATTTGATTATATCCGAGGACTGTCACCCCCTTCATCTAATCTATTAAAATTGCTCCAAAGGAAAGAACATATGTAAATTGCTTGGGGGAAAAAATCTGAAGTACAAATAGTACTTACCCCTTATAGTTGCACAAAAATTACAATCTCATGTTATTGCCATCATAACTCTGTCGTTTCAATTAATTAACTTTAACCCAGCCATTTTTTTTTTTTGGGTTTTCACTATATTCTTAACCTAAATGATTGTTACATATTGTGTATTTAACCAAACCGACAGACCTAATTAATTATATCTTCTTTAAAAACCAAGTAGAAGATATTTAACCAAACCGAACAGATCTAATCAATTCACTAGATATTGGACTACTATATTCACATTTTCTATTACTAAGATCCACGTTTCATGACCTTTATATGTTATAAATAGAGAATAATATTCTTTGTGACTATACAAACCAACATTTTGTATATTAATTTTAGAGAAAATTACTCAGATGAACTCTAATCTTTTACTTTTAGAAGTTTTGCAAAACTCTTTGAGCATTAAAGTTGTTAATTCCATCTTTTATAAGTTCAGTGTTCCAAATATTTGTAGGACAGACCAAGGAAAAAACAAACGGTGTAGTAAGAAACCTCGAAGCTTCGACACTTATAAACCTTATTCATATCAGCATCTAAATATCAGAAAATATTTTTAATCAAGTGGCATCGTAAGGTGTACGTTATAAACGGTGTAGAATTGTTAGTGTTTTGTTATATTCAAATTAGAATAGCTAATATGCAAATTTTATTCATCAGTAATTACTCTGGAATAATCAGAAGAATCATTACAAAAGCAAATACCAAGACAAACAGATAGGTCACATGTTGTAATTCTCAAAAACTTATCTCACCATTCTTTTGTCTTTAAATTGTAGTGATTAGTATTTGAATTATTAATGCAAGTTTTTTAGAATACATATTCAACTTTTTGTTGAACAAATTTCAACATCTTATTAAGATAAGTCAAGTAGTGATGCTATCTTAGGTATTTCTATTTAAGAACATCTCCAAAAGACTCTCCTATAATTTCAAATATAGAATTTTTTGTTCTCCAATAAAAACTTCAAAACTTCAAATAATTTGTAGTTTTGGGGAGTGATCTACGTTATTATTTTTATATGAATTTGTGGTTTGTGTTTTAGGTTTTCATTTGCAAGTGATGTGTATAATAATGTTTAAAAAAAAAAAAGTTTTAGATGAAAATGATTTATATATGAGAAGATGTATTTTGCTTATTTACAATAGTTATTTATATATTAAAGGGTTATGATATTAATATGTTGTGAGGGCTTCAAATGGTCTTCATGTTGTTTCTTTTTACAAAAAAATTGATCTAATATTCGGTGCTTTATATATTTTGGACGCGGAAGGATTGGACCGTAAGGTAATATTTTGTGTATGTTGTAACAATAATTACTGTTTATGTAAAATAATAGTCTTTGGACATGTATTGGAGTGAAAGTGGTGATTATTTGAAACATTTTTTTTTATCAAAAGTAGAATGTTATATTGAATGCCAAGAATATAGTAAAACAAAGTTTAAAATAACAAAACATTAAAACTTGAAAGTGTGAAAACTGAATAGTAATAACAATCACTGCATTGATTTTCCAGATTATTGAGATGACACTTTTTTGATGACAATATAAAAATCACATTAGTTCTATTTCGATATAGAGACGTCACGTAAAAAACCATTTGATCTATCTCTAGCATTTGTCAGCTCCAGATATGTCGGTTTGCTATTCATGGAGATCTATAAATTTCATGTATTTTTCATGTTTTCATGTGCATAGCAAAATTATGACATTGAAATGATTTCATGCGAGGATGTTTTAGTCCTTGTTGCGGTTTTGTTTCAGTGTCAAGATTGTTTTTTCCTTTCTAATATTACTTTTTATATATTAAATAAATATTTTCTTACTCAATTTGATACACTGACTTTTACGGCTAGTGCACCTAAATAGAAGTAGTGAAATTTAAAAAAAAATTAGTATAGGTAAATGTAATTTTTATTCTAAGAATCTTCATTTGTTTGGTTTATATGATACATTTACTAATTATTTAATTATTGATTCATGTTTTTTTAAGATTAGTGGAGAATGATACTGTAATTTTTATGGGATAATTATGTGGGTTGAGACTTGAGATTCCCTATTTTAGTTGCTTTTATGATTTTTTTTTTTTGGTTGAAGGAGAATGAAATATGTTTCTGTACATGACATTCTACAGTAGCCTTATTACAAAATTCAAATCTCAATGAAGAAAATAATATAAATAAATTTATATATTTAATTTATTGTCAATAAAATTTTAAACTAACATTAATCTCAATTTTTACTACTTATTTTACTATTCTTAAAATTATATATTTTTGTGAAAGAAAATTATATTTTTATCATAAAAATACTTGAAAATGTATTTGTTTCACTTCATTGTAGATATATGTTATATTTTGACTTTGATAGTAAGTACATTTAATTTTTTTAAAGTATAGTTGATTGTGTTCATGGGAAGATGAATA